AGACCAGCTGTCAAGTCAGATTTTAAATGAGAATGAAAAAATATGAGAGTGATTTAACTTTTTAAGTGAAATTTAACACCAAGGATATGTTCTAAATGGCATATCATTTTTTTTCTGCAGTAAATAGTACATAGTATGCACTTTTTCTGAATAAAATATCTAGAATATCAAATGCAACCTCAATGCAATGCACTTGACCAGCGTGTTGAATGAATCAACTCTTATTCTCTTGTTTGCTCATATTCAAATTACAATGATCAGATCGATTATTTGATATTATTATTTCATTAACATATATTAAATTATTACAATCATATTAAATTATAAATTACAATACACAATTAAATAGTGTAATTAAATACACTATACATACATACAGTATTATAATATAAAATAATATTCATATAAATAGTTTTGTTTATATATATATATATATATATATATATTAAACATTAAAATCAGATATCATATATAAATCATATTTTATACTTGCATGTTAAATCATTTTAATTTTATAATTAAAATAGTTCTTTCTTAATTGGAAGCCACACATGTATCATGCTACATTGGAACTTTTATCATTGCACATGTTTACATTTAAAAAAAAAGTGTACTGTACTGTGCAGTGTGCAATTAGCAATAGGCTAGTGTTCTAAGAATCTGAATTTCTTCAGTTCCCAATTGCTGATTTCTTGCTCAAAGGGCTTTATTTTCAACCAGCATTTGAAGAGACCATTTTATCATCTCACCCTGAACAGCATCTCATTTGATATACAAATTGACTCAATGTTTGAGCACCAGACAGCTCTTGTTTTCTCTAGAATTCGATGTAATCTGAGAATTAGCCGTCAAATGTGTTTTGCAGCACACGAATTTGCAGGGGTGAAATGTCTAAATAAAAGCGCCTGCCAGCGCTCACTTATGACAGATTTGATTATTTCTCTGTTCATTGGGACCTAAAGAGCGTCCTCACAACAACTCCCAGAAGCATCCGACAGTTTGATTCTTGCAGCTGAAGACACTTGTTGATGTAATGAAAGCTAAATGGATGCAGACACACTCCGCTCTGATTCTTCATCTTATTATCATTCTGCATGTGACTCTTCACTGATGATGAAGCTTCTGGAAGCTTTTGCGTCAAAGGCATGAAACCGGTTTCTGATCATCATATGAAGGTATTAACTGCTATACCCGGCAACAAAGTCCATTTTCTCCCCTGGTTTGCATCATTCTTTGAATCCTTATACTGTCATTCAGTTTTTTGCCCTCTTTAAAAGAGAGAGTGAATGAAAGAGAGGAACAGAGAAAGAGAGAAAGTGGCTCTTTGTCTCTTATTTGCCAGTCACAGTAAATGGCAGCTCTGATTAAGTTGCTCTAATTGGACTCTGCTTCAGATTCGGCGGGCGAACAATGGGCCACTTTGATGAATGGGTCGTGTTGCGTTTGTGTCGTTGTTTCTTCTGAAAGAAATCGTTATGCCATTAGCGACGAATCACATGCCAAGAGCCGCGGATACAAAGAACTTTAGTCTTTAAGTCAAAGAAGGAACAAATGGCCTAAAATCTCTCAGACTACATAAACCTTAAAAACTGAAATGTTAAGAAGCTTTAAACAGCTGTAACAAGCTTTTAAAACACATTAAAAGTGCTTCAAGGACTTGAGGTGTGATCTGCTCCTAGCTTGCCGTCTTTAACCTGTACTCTGTGATTTCATTTCTCTGTATTTTTCTCGTTTGCATGAGCAGAAAGTCAGAATGTCCCTGTTTGGAGACCAGAGGGGCTGCAACTGCTCCAACACTCAACACACAGATGGCGTCTTTACATAACGGACGCATTCATTACGTCCACATCATTTCTCGGATGAAGCCGCACTTCACGCTGAAGCCATCTCACCCCTCAGTTTAGCAGTGACAAGCAACATTAATGCATACATGTCAAAAGTATCTTAAGGTCACCAACTGAGTTGAAAACAAACTGTTTCTTTGCAAAAGCAGCGTCTTTGATGTGACATTTTAACAGCCAGACGTGACCATCTTTTTCGCAACTGAATAAAATCTCCAGCCTCATTAAAGGGTTCCACATGTTTGAAAAGAGAGCATCAATAGAGCAACAGTAATGAAAAAGACTCATTAGTGGGACGAGGAGATGTTGAGAGGTTTTAAAAGATGCCGAACCTGTTCTGATACTGTATTAAGTTATTGATTATATTCAACGCATTCTCATCCTTTGGCGTCATATAGGTGACGGCATATGACATTTCATCGAAATCTTACGCACATGGCATCCTTTAGCGTCAATATAACACGCACTGTTATGGGTAGGTTTAGGTCTGGGGTAGGGTACGGTTATGACGCCTTGGGATCTGCGTCTCATATTGATGCTAAAGGATGCCATGTGCGTAAGATTTCAACGAAATGTACAAAGCGTCACATGTATGACGCCAAAGGATGAGAACGGGCTGATATATCGTATCCTGCACAGAACTTACAGCACAAGGCCAGAGACTATTGAGCCATTGCTAACTATTGTGAAAGACCACTTTACTTTTAAATAATATACTCTTAAAGAATTTACAGTACTTAAAGGGATACTCCACCAGTTTTTCTTATTAAACTATGTTATTCCCTTAACTAAGACGAGTTGATACATACCTCTCTCGTCTCAGTGCGTGCACTATATCGCTCTGTATTGCCGCAAAACTATGTTAGCACTTAGCTTAGCCCATGCATTAAATATGGGCCAAGCAGAGAAGCGACCAAACACTTCCACGTTCTTCCTATGTAAACACAGTTACTCGAGTAGTGTAACTTGACCTGGGCTGGTGACACAAAATAAACCGTTGCGCTTTTCTAAGCGTTTAAAATTGATGACTATATTGTATGGCGGAATACCATAACAAGTGCTTTTGAGCACTTCGACTTGGCGCAATAATATCTTCACTCGTGAAAAGTCCCGGCTCCCGCTTCCTCTCCCCCTCCCTCTGACATTTCCGTCAATACAACCAACGTGACATGCGCCGGTAGTAGTAGTTCGAGCGGAGTTGACGAAGTAACAGGTTGTTGGAAGCTAGTTAGCTTAGTTAGCATTCTAAACAGCACAGGCTCTCAATTTCGGTCGGCATCTGTTCGCAACAGTCACACTTGCACCACCAATTGCTGTTTGCCCGTGGTCTTTCGCCAGCTCCGGTCTGTTCTGGATCATATCTTTCTTGCCTCTCACGGTCCATAAGAGCTAATTCCTCCTCCGTGTACTCGGGTTCAAACAAATATGGCTCTGGGTCTTCTACAAGTCATAATCATCTACAAAGTCCGCCATTGCAAATGATCTGCAGTTTGCTAATAGCACAGCACAGGTAGTAAAAGTCACGTTGGTTGTATTGACGGAAATGTCAGAGGGACGGGGAGAGGAAGCGGGAGCCGGGACTTTTCACGAGTGAAGATATTATTGCGCCAAGTCGAAGTGCTCAAAAGCACTTGTTATGGTATTCCGCCATACAATATAGTCATCAATTTTAAACGCTTAGAAAAGCGCAACGGTTTATTTTGTGTCACCAGCCCAGGTCAAGTTACACTACTCGAGTAACTGTGTTTACATAGGGAAAACGTGGAAGTGTTTGGTCGCTTCTCTGCTTGGCCCATATTTAATGCATGGGCTAAGCTAAGTGCTAACATAGTTTTGCGGCAATACAGAGCGATATAGTGCACGCACTGAGACGAGAGAGGTATGTATCAACTCGTCTTAGTTAAGGGAATATCATAGTTTAATAAGAAAAACTGGTGGAGTATCCCTTTAAGTGCTAAACAGAATGTAATGTTTTTAACACTTAATTGCATGTTATTTACAATTAAAAGAAAATATATCATAGCTTAAATTTATATTAAAGAGATAGTTAACCCAACAATTAAATCATTTACTCAGCCTCAAGTTGTTTGAAACCTGAATGATTTTTTTCTTCTGCTGAACACATAAGAAGGTATTTTGAAGAATATGGGTAACCAAACAGTTGATGGGCGCCATTGACGTCTATAGTGACTTCTATTTTTCCATACTTTGGAAGTCAATTTGGTTACCCATATTCTTCAAAATATCTTCTTTTGCGTTCAGCTTCTTTTTCACAAGGTAATTCATGCTAACATTAGCAAGAATGCTACATTGTCCTCATTACCACTAAACATTTAGGATTTAATTGTAGATTTAGTTACAGATTTAAAGTCCTAGAAACCCCTGCTGGAAAAGCTTAAGCTGGTCGCTGTGTTTTAGAAACATATTAGCTTGTCTAGGATGGTCATTAGCTTCTGCAAACTAGCAGACCGACTGCCATGTTCCCTGAACACAGCTAATAGCTTACGCTGGATTTACTAGAAGGTGAAAATGAGAATGAAAGAAATTCAGAGAGAAAATCATTGAGATGTAGTCTGTGTGTGAATACTGAGAGGGTCTTAACCCTATTACCAAACAGAGCAAATGCTTCCCAGAGAGCGTTTAAGAGAGGAACACGATTAATGTTACATGTGCACTGAAATACAAAGCCTTACATGCAAACACACAAACACACACATTTAGAGAGGAAGAGAGCATGCGGGGGAAGAGAGTGACAGACAGACGCCTAGAGAGATTGATGGCTATATTCAAACGAAGTCAGAGAACTGACAGGAACCCAATGGAGCGAGACACAGTCTGATGTGAGCCAGTCCACCACAACCACACTCACACTTAACTACACACACGTTAACACCACACACATGGTGTGTGTGCTCTAATTCCCAACACCAAACACAACCACAAACAGCCCAGAATGCTTTTGGGATCAATAAATGCAAGAACTGAGTTGCTATTGACACTTCTTCACCTCTTCACACGAGCACAAAAGGGAAGTCACACAGAACCGACTGGCAGTACAAATGAAACAATGAAAGATCACTCGCTTTCCCATGAGAAGAACATTTATTGCCGTTTCACAGAAGCCTGACAAAGCTGAAGACATTTCACCGCCCGTCTTACCTAATTTCGGGAGGGAATATTTGACTTTGAAGTAATCCTGGTAAAACTGCAGGAGTCTCTTGGTGATGTGCAGAGCGTAGTCTCCCGATCCGCTCTGGATGGCGTCAGGCCTGGCGTACAGCCGAATCTACACAACATCGAAGAGAGGGAGAACAAAAGTCAAATCGTGTCAAGTGCTGAATGTACTCTTGTACGGCTCTGGGTTTATTCCTAACCTGAATTCCCTCAAGGATAACTTGAAAGAGTAATCCTTGGTGAAAATATCTGCCAAATGCCTTCATCTGACGTGTGAATTTTGCATTTGTCTTTCAAGTGCACTTTTTGCCACCCCTCAAAAGTGTGTGAGGCATTAAAAAGTATTACTGTCACCTACTCCACATGTAAAAAAAACCTTTTATTTTCTGTAGATAGCAGGCAGATGAGCTCATATTCAGTGTTTTTAATTAAAAGATTTCCAACAAAGAATTAATCTACCAATAATACCCTGAAGAGAGATCCAACAATTACTTTTGCATATTGAAGAACAGTCCACACATTTAATGCATTGAGAATGACATAATAAGCTGACTAAATTAACTTTAAATATATAGTTTTTATATTTATAATTAACATTTTGGACAGTTTTTTTCTGATTCGATTTAGTTATTTGCAGTGCTTCATGGGGTGAGTAGTTAATTCACTCATAAAAGAAGTAGTCTTCTTTTGATTAAATTAAAGTTTGTAATTGTGTAAATCACCTTAGAGTAAAACAAATTACCTTGATACATGGCTTAATCTTTTATCTTTTAAGTTGTCTAAAATCCTTATGGATAATGTTCTATTCGAGTTATGGCGAACAAGTTATGGTAAACAAATTAATTGTTTACCTTTTCATAAGCCATAATGTTATTAGACTAGCTGATGAAAAACTCCTCCATGTATTTAAAAATGTAAACAATTAATTTAATTAAAGCTGTAATTTATTAAAATAGCATTTTAGACATTTGTCTTAGAAAAGAAATGAGATTTCCAGGATGAAAAGCTAAGACAAAACATCTGCATTATTGCAAGATCCTTTATTCTGTATTTACGATTAGTGAAAGAGGGAGAGAGGGAAGAGAACAAGTGTGAAAGAGAAAGTGTGTGAGGTGTGGCTCTGTGGGAAATGTATTCTCACAGTAAAAATGATCCTGGTCTCTTTTAGCCGAAGGCTGATGCACAGCACAGCTTTCTGAACGGGCATCCATCCAGTCAGAATGAATGTCCTCCTACACTAACAGAGTTACCGTGCAAAACAAGCCTTTGTTTCAGAGCCTGGCAGCAATGCACATTGAATTATGTGTTGTTTACATCATATGTTGCTACCGTATCGATCAGCTCTATGTCTGATATAAAGATGAATGGACGGCACTTAGGGCTGGGGAAATGATTCAAAGCTCAATCAAATCAATGTGATTTTAAATCGACCTGTAATTAGACAAAGTGCTCAAGTTGACAATCAAGAGAAGCTTCATTAATCAGCCATTGTGGAGATTGTTCAATCTGACTCTAGTGCTGACTGCTTCATTTGTTTGGTTTTGTTGAAGGCAGCTTGACAGAGACTTAAAAGGGGTTAATTGAACTTTAATAGAGAGTCTCTCAATGAGCATCTGCTCAACATTGATCCACTAACAAGCTCTTCCGGTGAAAAGATGAAACTTTAGTTAACACACTCAGAAGATGACATGGAGCACTTGACCTGATATTAATAACTTATCTATATGTGAGAGATACTTCAGGAACTTCACAAATTCATTCCTATAAAAGTCCAAACTGTGCCATAAAAACTGTACAATGTGTGAAATGTATCTTCTAATTTTATATAATATGATTCCCTGTTAGAAAGTCTATCTAGTCAGCAGCAGTTTGACTGGTTAAACAGCCTGACAGCACGAAACCAGCGTAAATCAAGATGGACATTCATGCTGGGATAAGCTGGTATTTTAACTTAATAATAATAATTCGTTACATTTTATATAGCGCTTTTCTGTGTACTCAAAGCGCTTTACATTGAAGGGGGAATCTCCTCAACCACCACCAATGTGCAGCATCCACCTGGATGATGCGACGGCAGCCATAGTGCGCCAGAACGCCCACCACACACCAGCTTATTGGTGGAGAGGAGACAGAGTTATGAAGCCAATCAGTATATGGGGATGATTAGGAGGCCATGATGGACAGAGGCCAATGGGCAAATTTGGCCAGGATGCCGGGGTTACACCCCTACTCTTTTTTCGAAGAACATCCTGGGATTTTTAATGACCACAGAGAGTCAGGACCTCGGTTTTAACGTCTCATCCGAAGGACGGTGCTCTTTTGACAGTATTGTGTCCCCGTCACTATACTGGGGCGTTAGGACCCACACAGACCACTTAAACCCACATAGATGTTTCAAAGCATTTGTATTCTACTGCTAAAACCATAATGTTGTCCATTAAATTAACATGCTTTTCTGATCAGGCTGAGTAATTTCATGAATATTTAATGAGAATTTTTAGTATAGTGGTGTTGAATATTGATTAGATATTACAAGAACATTTGTCATTTTAATGATAAAATAAATAAAAACTGACTGATACTAAACCAGTGGGTTTAATAACAGCTGCTACCGTGTTATGAATAAAATGTGCTGCTTTAAGACAATAAAATAACCAGTTTCTCTTATTTTAGCATTTGAACTAACATAAGACATCAGGTAAAAAATTATGACCCTGAGGGTCAAATTCTGTAAAGTATTTGTTTTTTTATTTGATACATATACATGATAGAGAGAGTCCACTGGTCAATCCAGGTAAAACAAGTCACATTCACCAGAACAGATGCCTTTATATAAGGATTGATTGGTTGATTGATTGGTTGACTTGATTGATTGGTTAATTGGTTGCTTGGTTGATTGATTGTTTGTTTGTTTGATTGATTGATTGATTGATTGTAGCTTGGTTGATTGATTGTTTGTTTGTTTGATTGATTAATTGATTGGTTGAATGAATGATTGATTGATTGATTGATTGGTTGATTGGTTGGTTGATTGATTGATTGATTGATTAATTGTTTGGTTGCTTGATTGATTGATTGATTGATTGATTGATTAATTGATTGGTTGATTGGTTGGTTGATTGATTGATTTATTAATTGATTGGTTGCTTGATTGGTTGATTGATTGGTTGATTGATCAATCGATTAATTGATTGGTTGGTTGATTGATTGGTTGATTGGTTGAGTGAGTTATTTATTGATTTATTGATTTATTGATTGATTGATTGATTGATTGGCTGATTGATTGATTGATTGATTGATTGATTGATTGATTGATTGATTGATTGATTGATTGATTGATTGATTGATTGATTGATTGATTGATTGATTGATTGAGCTGTATTATTATGGTAGAGTCCGATTTTAGTTCACAAGACAGATTAAATGTTATGCCTCATTACTCCTGTAAACATGCACATCAGTATGTTAGCTGTTTGGGAGAGGTGAGTCGCTCAGCTCCAGATGTTATCTGTATAACTGCATCAATAGACTATAGACATAAATTCATGGTTGTATAGAGTTAAAATTCACCACCATCTAGAGCCTTAAAACCCATAATACATAATGCCCAACCAATTGCTGCCGGGTGTGCCGTGATCTTTAGACGTGTGTGTGGGGTAGATCAGTGTTTCCCCATAAACCCAGAGTAATAACTCCACTCTTCTCTCCAACGTTCCTCTTCCACGATCTTTCCTCTCGCTCCGCACAGCCGAATCTGTGTGATGAATGGAGCAAGGGGGCAACCCTGCCGCTTTAATGTGATTGATGGGGACGCTAGTGTGCGGCTAACCGCTACACGGCACAGTGTGGGTATAAATGCCCCAGATAGAAGCACACACTGCAGTCAGAGATGATTTGATATAAAGGAGAGCGCGGTCATGCTGAAGGAGATGGATTAATTACACTAATATGAGGAGGTGGCCGGCCAAGGGCAACAGCGGAACCCACTGAGGAAGCCCTCAGGAAGTGTGTAATATGACTGAACGTGATATCAGTAATGCAGCTCATAAACAGAGTCTCTCTAATGGCAGACAGATGAAGCAGCTTAGAATGTGAGGATTCAGTGTCAAAAAAAGAACATTTAAGTGCATGTGATGAAAGACACAACGTCACATCAAACAAAGTTCCTGTATTTTATATCAAACCTGGAAGAGTTTGTCAAGAACACAATCTCCATTGTCTGTAACTGCTTCTCACACGGCCCAGGCCAGGTAGTCCATGAGCATAAGTGGACACCAGTTACACACATGACTGTTACCCTTTTAATAAGCACGTTTATGACTTTGTGGACACTGGACTTATGTTAGTGGAGACAAACATTTCCATTATCCACTGTGTAACCATTATATTGATTATAGAAACGTACTGTGAAATACACAAATCGACTGTGAACAAGATAATAGGTCTGTTTTAAAACTTGCTCTCTTGAAAGCTTCCTTCTGGGAGAATCCTGACTGAGATGAAACCGCACAGGTCACAGATTTGGAAAACTCTGCATAAATAGCAGCTAAATTAAATACATAATAACGCATAAATTTGACTTTGAATAACAATTAATATTAATCGACCTTTGATGTTAGTCTTTTGCTAAGCTAATTATTAAATATGCTAATGAACTTAAAGATACAGTAGCACACACAAAAATTGGGTAAAGCAGTCCATTAGATTAAAACAATGTTATTAATAATTTTTAGTATTTAATTAAATATATTCACTTATACACCACCGTTTGGGGTCGGTATTTATAATGTTTTTGAAAGAATCATCTTATGCTCACCAAGTCTGCATTTATTTGATCAAATTACTGGGCTCAGTGCAATGCATTCTGGGATTGGCTTCACTTTAAAGCATACATGAGGTGCTGCCTTAGAATTTGGCAAATGAAGCAGAAAACCTTCTGAACAGCCTTCATGTCAGAAGCACATCTGTTGTGATTTAAAATGCTGCTCTCTAGGTTTTAGAAAAGAGTTAATAATAAAATCTCAGTATCAGAGCTGCCAACTCTCACGCATTGGCCGTGAGACACACGCTTTTGATTGGTTGATTGGTTTCACACGCTCACACGCCACCCCCCCGATTTCTCACGCTGAAGTGTCAACCTGGGGTGCGTTTCCCGAAACCATCGTTAGCCAACTATGGTCGCAAGTTCCGTCGTTACCAATAGCGTTCAATGGAAATTGCGATCATAGATGGATAACGATGCTTTCGGGAAACGCACTCCTGGTCGGTCAAATGTCTGGAAGATGAGTTTATCTATATATCTATATCCGTTGAGCCACTCGTGATCGACTAGTTATGCCGCAAATTAGTTAAAATCTCCCGGAATCTAGAGCGAGCGCGCACGCGAGACAGAGATTGTGCTCCAAACCGCGAGGGAAAACGAGCGAGAGACCTTGCACCCCCTCATGAGAAAAGTCTCACGCCAAGCTAAACTCAAAAGTTGGCAGCTATGCAGTATACACTCACCTAAAGGATTATTAGGAACACCATACTAATACTGTGTTTGACCCCCCTTTCGCCTTCAGAACTGCCTTAATTCTACGTGGCATTGATTCAACAAGGTGCTGAAAGCATTCTTTAGAAATGTTGGCCAATATTGATAGGATAGCATCTTGCAGTTGATGGAGATTTGTGGGATGCACATCCAGGGCACGAAGCTCCCGTTCCACCACATCCCAAAGATGCTCTATTGGGTTGAGATCTGGTGACTGTGGGGGCCATTTTAGTACAGTGAACTCATTGTCATGTTCAAGAAACCAATTTGAAATGATTCGAGCTTTGTGACATGGTGCATTATCCTGCTGGAAGTAGCCATCAGAGGATGGGTACATGGTGGCCATAAAGGGATGGACATGGTCAGAAACAATGCTGAGGTAGGCCGTGGCATTTAAACGATGCCCAATTGGCACTAAGGGGCCTAAAGTGTGCCAAAAAAACATCCCCCACACCATTACACCACCACCACCAGCCTGCAGAGTGGTAACAAGGCATGATGGATCCATGTTCTCATTCTGTTTACGGCAAATTCTGACTCTACCATCTGAATGTCTCAACAGAAATCGAGACTCATCAGACCAGGCAACATTTTTCCAGTCTTCAACTGTCCAATTTTGGTGAGCTCTTGCAATTTGTAGCCTCTTTTTCCTATTTGTAGTGGAGATGAGTGGTACCCGGTGGGGTCTTCTGCTGTTGTGGCCCATCCGCCTCAAGGTTGTGCGTGTTGTGGCTTCACAAATGCTTTGCTGCATACCTCGGTTGTAACGATTGGATATTTCAGTCAAAGTTGCTCTTCTATCAGCTTGAATCAGTCGGCCCATTCTCCTCTGACCTCTAGCATCAACAAGGCATTTTCGCCCACAGGACTGCCCATTCTTTGTAAACCCTAGAAATGGTTGTGTGTGAAAATCCCAGTAACTGAGCAGATTGTGAAATACTCAGACCGGCCCGTCTGGCACCAACAACCATGCCACTCTCAAAATAGCTTAAATCACCTTTCTTTCCCATTCTGACATTCAGTTTGGAGTTCAGGAGATTGTCTTGACCAGGACCACACCCCTAAATGCATTGAAGCAACTGCCATGTGATTGGTTGGTTAGATAATTGCATTAATTAGAAATTAAACAGGTGTTCCTAATAATCCTTTAGGTGAGTGTACTGTTTGTACGTAACTTTAAGTTAGGGTCTGAAAATCCAACTCACCACGACTCCGTTGTCTGTAACTGCTTCTCTGTAGGTGAAGTTACACACGGCCCAGGCCAGGTAGTACGTGGACATGCGGGGCGTCCTGGAGAAATGGTTGGTCACCCATCCGTCCTCCTCAGACATGGAAGACTCCACTGGCATGTTGGACAGAGATTGATACGAGCTCTCGTGTTTCAGACTCACTCTGAATGTGGCTTTATAGATGGGCTCGTCGAAACACGGGAAGGCCTTTCTAGCGTGGGTCGGTGAGAACTGTGTCACCGCAAGAAACCTGCAGAACAAGAACGTGAGAGAGGTAAGAGGAAAGAAAACTCTGCTGAAATATATGTTATTTAACTAGTCCAGGAGTCAACCGTGGAAAGTCATTTCACTTCATTAAATTGGTTGTCACGTGACTTTCCTGAATGTAAATTAGCTCTGTCTGCCATCCCTGTTCATATCTCTGTGCATTTAGATCACACTAATGAGCTTTCTGGAGTGAAGAAACCACAGCAACTAAATCACATCAAATGTCAACATAACATAAGAGATACTACACAGAAATAATGATATATCTGATATCTGCATGTCACAGCTGTAAACATTAAACACATCTGTGACGGCACAACGTCAACGAATTGACAGTGTGAACCAATTTAGATGGCAAGAAAATAATAAAAAGCTGTCAAATTGATCTTACATGTAGTTGGAACAGAAGCGTTAATAATCTACATACAGACACATGTAGGACATCAGAATCAGAACTGAGTCTGAGTATAAAAGTAAAGAAGTTAAAGAGCTGGATGAGCGGTTCTTAAGAAGAAAGAGTGAGCTGCATTTTAGAAAGCTGCATTGATGGATATTCAAGCTTGTATCAAACCTCACAGGGAGGAATTTTCCTTCACCATCCACAGCATGACCATCAGACGGGGGAGGAGGGGTGTTCTGCTCGCTCCTGCATTTCTGTCACAACTTTTTACTCTCATTAGCAGCCATTCATGCAGGAGCAATCTATAATGAGTCTATAATGTCCCATCTGTTTACTTCCTCTTCATTTCATTCACACTTTATAGATGCGAGTATCATATAAACATCTTTACACTATTTAAAGATAACAGACAGGGGTTGATGAGGAATCAGACAACTAACAGACACACGGGAGGAGATTCTACAGGGATGTTAGAGTGAAAATCCCTGCAGTGAAACACATGGAGGTGTTTGAGTTTGTTGGATATGTTTTATACCTGCTCATTATGACATCACTGACGTGCAATGTGAGGTTGAAGAAAATGTGTGAAGAGGAAGAAGGAAAAACTGTTGAAACTCTGAAAAGACCAGAGGATCAGTTCAGATCAGAACAACACTCCTGCGCCCGCGTCTAACTACATCAACACAAGTATTTCCTCAATCCAGCGAGATCCCGCTGTTCAGTGTTCATGAATATACGAGCAGCCAGCAGGCGCTGATTACACTAAACTGAAGGATCTTCACAGCCTGTGGAGCTGAACAACATCAACATATACTGAATTTATCTCAAAGGTGCTTTTCAATGGATATCACGATATCAAGACCTCACAATAAAGTTTAAGTAAAAGAAAGAATCGCCCTGAGCCTTTAACATGCTGTGTTTACAGCTGATAGGAAGCAGAAGGTTCAGCCGTTATTGAAAAGACAAGGAGGAAACTGGCGGACAGACAGAAGGGTTATGAAATGTGTCCATGAAAGCGAACCCTTCAGGGTAAAAGAAGGCTTAAACATGTCTCAAATACAGGAAAACCTGCGGCAATGATTCAGACATGAGCCATTTTTTCCCTCAGAGGACAAAGAGTCAGAAGCCGTAAAACAAGAGCAAGAAGTTGATATTTTGTGAAATCACTGTGAATATGAGGCTGTAAACGGCTCTAAAACTAGTCAACACACATATATGAGCTTGTGATAATAAACTGTGCATCTTAAACAGTAAAAAAAGATTTTAACTACTGATCTGAAGATTTTCAAACATAAAAATAGGTTGTCGTTTAAACAGGAGCACATATGAACTGAACACTTGAATTGGCTAATCTATTTATATTATATTGATGGATTATCTATATATTGATTATATCAATATACTGTTTATAAATTAATGCATAATGGTAGTAACTGCATAAATAGTTTATTTTTGAAGGTTATTTTTGATGTAAATCTAACTGTGTGGGTTTATGAAGGTTTATCACTGTGCTGGAAAACTTCCCATGATTAGGCTATATGCGGGTCTCAGTGTGTGACAGTAAATGAGTCATTGAGCGCAGTGTCAGTCACAGCTGTGACTTCAGTACCCAGAGGTTTAACTAGTGTTCAGATCTGTGTGACTTCTGACCTCCCTGAACACTGAGGAACAGTTACTGTCTGAGACGTAAAATTACATACAGATATAATAATGCTAGACTAGAATTTACAGGTGAACGGCCTAACATTAACTATAACCTGGAGTTAAAGCTGTTAATGTTATGAATGAAGAACCAGAGATTATATCTTGTTTCTTTTGACAGATGCTGTAATAATATTTGGACAGCAGCAGCGTCTTGGCAGTTGTGTTTTTAAAACATATCACCTCCATGATGTTCTTGACACTTTACTGACAATCATCTTCACATAACATGTCACTGTATACAGAACAACAAAAATTACAGCCAACCTCACAAAACTTAGCAAAGTAGCCGGATTTTCAACAAAAATACAATGGCAATGCTATTAGCCTCCATCTATATAAGAACATCTCATGTTCATTAATTATGGTTTTGAAGTAGCGAACATTACTATTGAAACTATTATAGTTTAATGTAATTTATTCTCCATCTATTACATCTATTATTCTCCAGACTGTTACAAAATAAGGCTTTGTATTGCGTCTACTTATGTTTATATCAGCATAACACAGTTTGCATACATCAATACCACTGACACATGAATCTCCCACTCAATATATATAAGAATGATTATTCATAACACAGTTAATACAGTTACTGCGGTAAAGCTGTAGTAAACTGGGGACAGTAACATTACAGCTTCTGAAGAATGATATCCTATTTATTATAGTTTTACTGTAACATCAGTAGTAACTATGGTATTTTGGTTACCATGGTAAATTTCTGCAAGAGCAAATAATTAGCCAAACAAAAAGCTTAATTTTACATATGATCTTAACACACCATCAGTAGTTCTCGGTCAGGGCCGTGCTAGTAGACCCCGGCTTTAGGGGGGCACCAGATTTCAGCCGGGGCCCCTGATACCCCAGCTACGGCCCTGGCAACAGCAGTACATTATATCAACACCTGATCATCATATGAGAGACTTTTTTGAGACGGACACTGAACCTCTTTTACCTTCTTTCTCCATTCAGCACGTAAGAGCTTCGGAAGAAGCCCAAGAGCTCGTGCTCGATGTGCGCGTGAAAGGTGATGTTGATCTTGTATGTTCTGAGGGGCTTCATCTCTCTGTGCAGCGCGATCACAAACACCTGCTTGGGCTGATAGTGGAAGCGGCGCTGGATCCTCATGACGCCCGCTTTCTTACTGTCCGAAAACACCAACACTTTCTCCACCTCCAGCCGGTCCGTGTGCAGCACGATCAACTTCGTGGAGTTGACGCATTCAAACTCAATGTTCACCTCGCCGGAGAAGCTGAAGTTCTCCATGTTCACGGACAGTCGGAGGTCGTAGTGGCGCGGGCGCAGGGTGGCCGGTAAGCGAAGGTGTCTCCAGGGCTGCTGGCCGTCCTCTGTGTCTCTGTGACTGATGTTCCCGTCCCGGGACTGTTTCCACTTACTGTTGCTGGAGCCGTTCGCGGCCAGAGCTCCGCTGCTCTCCGCGGCGCATCTCTCGAAGCTGACGCTAAGCGTGATGGCGATGGCCGTGACGATGATGAGGGTGAGGATGGAGATGGCGAAGCCCAACACCAGCCTCTTGTGAACAGTGATGTGCTGTTCGGTCGTCCGGGGCCGGACCACCACGCTGTCGGCCCACTGATCGGACAGAGCCCGTCCGTTCCTCATGCTCGCGTCCTCGATCCCCATTATATGACGAACCTGATGTGTTTTATATTCATCATCAGCCTCCGTTCATGCGGTGCAGCTTCAAACTGCGAGCGGACTGATTTAAAGGCGCGAAATGAGGAAAAGATCCCGCGAAACACGCAGAACGCAGAATAACTGCGGATCGATGAACTCGAGACTAGATTGCTGTGAATCAGAAGTTCGTCCGGTCAGATGCTGGAGTTCATCGAGTCCTTTCGCACATCCATTTCTCCTCTGACTTCAGTCTGATGTGGATGAAGGTCCAGCACCTGCTTCCTGATCAGTGTTGTGAAACTCTCTTCTCTCTATTCATTTCTCCTGCCTCCATCATCATCATCCTGTTTCTCTCGCTCTCTGATGCATCATCCTCTCTTTCAGCCAGTGGGCTGTGCTCTCTCTCTCTCTCTCTCTCTCTCTCTCTCTCTCTCTCTCTCTCTCTCTCTCTCTCTCTCTCTCTCTCTCTCTCTCTCTCTCTCTCTCTCTCTCTCTTCTCTCTCTCTCTCTCTTCATCTAATGTTCAGTTAAACCACATTTAATTAAACAGTGAAGCAGACAGGCTGATACTCTCTCCTCACACATTTAAAATTGCTGAGCTGCATGCAAATTAAACAGAATAATGTAACTTAAAGATTAAATGAAAATATGAAACACGCATTTGAGACATGTACGTCAAACTTTTACAGCAGCGCTATGACAGTATTTTCAACAGTGTTTATTACACATCGCACAAATATATTAGAGCATGTCTGTTACTTTACAACAAAAGCGTGAAATGGATGAGTGATTATTCATTCAATAAACTGTATTGAGGTTGTGTGGGGCAGTCAAATGAGAGCCTATCTTCCTTTTGAGAACTTATGTGTAGGGCTAATCAGTAGTTTTCTGTAATAGTGTGTTCAGTGGCTATGTAGCTGGGCAAGATTTAAGTTTTATATAACCAAATAATAAAGCATATTTACAATGGTCGCTGCGACTGTAAACTGAAAGCCGCTGTCCATGGTGCTGAATCTAACAGGAACCGTGTGCAATTTCAGCACCACTAGCGCCACTGAACGGAATTGGAAAAAAAGGGTTGCATTTCAAACAAGTTTTCCCCCCGTCTGTCATTGGTCGAACAAAGAGATAGTCCCGGCCCAAACTCACACCATTGGATGGCTGATCCATCCAATGAGTAATTAGTAATGTCGTGATAGAACCTAAGTCACCGGATATCAAGATAACATCAATAAAATGTTTGAAAATGTATATATATTTAAATATATTTAATTTAGCCTATTTTAAATTACACACTACAGCTTCAATTAGCTAATCCTGCAAAGATTATATGTACCGTAGATTAATATCTCCCATTTTTCCATAAATTATTCATAATACAGGTATAATGAATTACCAAGGAGGTGATTTCTACCATAAAATAATTAACTTGAAGCAGTTTAGATTATCTTAACCTGGGATCTTATCTTAAAGCTATTTTAACCCAATTTTAGTTGTTTTAGGATGTTTTCATTTAGCAGTTTTGAGGTGCTACACAATAATATCTGAAATAATGTTAGTTTAATAATCTTATTAAACCTGCCCTTAAATTAAATATGAAAAAAGCTTGTTATTTTACACAACTTTAACACAGAGCATCGGCCACTAGGCCACAATAATCACATAATACAGTTGACAAATGCAAAAAAAAAAAAAAAACCTCAATTGATCGATCTGCTGGATGTTATAAAGCCATTTTCAGATTTGTGTTTGTGTTTGACCTGAATGAATTTTGAGCTGACTTTTATTAACCCTTTATCTTCTTTCCCAGGTATCAAGATGACATCGTTCACAAGAGGAAATGTTTTTGCTGATAACAACGTGGTCTTGATGTTGAGAGGCAAGGGGCCAATTTTGCTTGAGGACATCCACACTGGTCGATCTGTACTTTCTGAAGGAGATCAACATGATCAGTCCATGTCATTTTGTTGTCTGTGGTTTGATTTGGTGTCATTTGTTCCTGTGCACTTTGACCATTGTGTTTCTATAACAAAGTAAAAAAGAATTATGGGGATTCGTCTGCCTCCGAGGAGGTGTTCCTGGATTTCTGGGCACGTGTGAGGAGCCACATGAAGACTGAAGACACGGTTCCTCTTTGATCTGCATCAGTTGGTGAGTAATGTTGAGAATAATGTATTTTTCATTTACTACATCTTACATTTGAAAAAAAAAAAACGTACATGAGTCACCCACTACCACCTTAACTCCACCTTCACATCTCCCCTCCATCTTTTCCCTCCACTCATTCCTCTCAGTACATCTGTCATTGTTTCATAAAGGAAGACCAGCGGCGGCTCTTTGAACGCAGCGACGGCTCCAAACACCAAATAACACCCTCAATTTGCAGCCGTTGGCATGGCTGGTTAAACAGCACAGCGAGAAGACAGCGGTGAGCGTGTGAAGACACCCTTGAAGGAGCCGGGAGAGAGAAGACCAGGTGGAAAGATGATGAGGATAAAGTGAAAAATAAAACCAGGGGCTTCTAGTTCAAATGATTTTATTCACAATTGAAATTCTCTAAACTAGACTGGGCAGGAAACGCATTTAGATTCCATCCGATCAAGATTCTCTTCGGCCCTTTACCCCTGTGGAATTTAGAACCTATTCTCATGAAATAATGATGGGATGTCCAAGAATGATTGTGAAATCTTTGGATCAAATGAAAATGGAGGTGCATTTAAAGAGAAAAATAAGCTATTTCAATGTGGCATCTGAACACAAAAGCCTGTCATGATGTGAAAATGTGTGTGAACCGTGAGCCTCATGTTGAATGAAAACATACAGCACAATATCAGTCTGGAGGGACTGTGATTTTTTTTATAAAAATATCAGTAAAACATCCTTGAGTGCAGCTGTGACTGCCGGCACATAGAGGGTCATTTCAGAAGAGAAAGAAATGGAGGTTTGTGTGAAAATTACTAAGCAGAGCAGAGACACATCGCCCCCTGCAGTCTACAGGTAACATTAGCGCAATTGTCACAATCAACAACGGACAGAGATATACACATCACAGCTGGTCCATTGAAGCTCAATGTCCTTAATCTAAGCAATCTGGTGAAGCCTCTCTGAAACCTGTGGAATTTTTCAGTTATTCATCATCTCAGTGATCAGGCAGATGTCCTTGTCCAGTGGAACTTCTACAAGCTTCTGTTTCATGTAAAGAATGAGATATGAAATATGGCAGAATGTAATTTATAATGCCATACAAGTACACATTGCATTATTATCCTTGCCACAAGGGGTGCTATAGCGGACAGTAGCATCAAGTCTTCTTCTCCTATTGTTTTCTCGTTCAGGAAATGACTAAAGGCAGAGAATCTTGATGATCAAGTTAGATAAGGTTAGTAAAACTGTTCACATATTTATGTCTAAGTGAATAATGTGCCCTTCAAGTCAGAAACATCAAGTTTCAAGCACATACATTCAAAGTCATTTTCATTTTTTCAAAGTCAAAGTCACATAAACGCAAAGTCATATTTAAGAGTGGGAAACTCAGAATTCTAGATGATACACAAGTTGCCAAGTTGGGACATCGGAAGGGGTGTGACGGGTTGAAAATTTTTGGAAACCCTGATGTATAATATCGATAATATCATATAACATATCTTTAATATAGTTAGAGACCAGTGAGTGAAAAGCAAGTCTGTAGTGAATGGCAATACATGTTTGCATTTTTATTTTACATGCTGTATTTCAACCATTTAATGGCACTTTGTTTATTGACAACAAGTGTAAAGTTAATCATTCACCCTTCATGTTTTGCTTTATGTAACAAAAAATATTGAAATAAATAATTTTCATAAATTGTTCACAATATAATTATTTTGCTTTGTTTAGGCAACTTCCTTATGTATCCGACATGATATGTCATAAAAATGAGTGGCCGACCCTGAAGTACGAGCGTCCCAGGTGCACTTGAAGGTAGGATTAAAATCTCCTGTTGTTTAATGCCACAGTAATTGCATCTTTTGGACAGAATTAGATGTATCCTGGAAATGTACCTGAGTGTTTTGCTAGAGGGAAGTTGATTCTGTCCAGGGAGGTGGTGATTTTTCTCATCAGTCTAGAATTCATCCGTCAGCACTTTAAGTCACACACACACACACACACATTTGACACTCATTCATAATTCATACGTCAGTTGGATATGATATTGTATAAGCAGTAAGTATGACACAGTAAGACAGCAGGGAATTGGTATTTTTACCCTCCACTATGATACAACCTGACTGTGAGGCTGATGCAAATGCTTTTGTTCACCAGTAGATTCAGGTGCATCTGATTTAGAGACGTTTCCAGAGATATGAATGTGCTGAAATGTTCTTACATAATAACGGTGACCAAAAGAACCACATGTTTTACCCTTGCAATGTGAATACATTTGGTAAAGTAGCTTTAAATGAAAAGCTTTTAGCAATGATAGAACGGTGGAGAGAAATATGCCTGAGGATGGAGAAGCTGTTTCTGTATCCGAATGTTAATGGGAGTTAACGTTACCCAGAAGCCCTTGGGTCTCCCATTGGTTGTAAGGCAGCACCAAAAGAGCCTCGTCCAAACAAACGATTGGCCGCGTCTGTGTCCAGGGCAATAAGTTTGTCTATTAGCTCAGATTTCATCGATCCGCAGCCTGTTATCAAGTGAACTGCTCAAACTGGGCTGAAAATGCAGTGGACTGACACACTGGTCCCTGTAGCGAACACTCGCACAACTCCAGCGATATTATGAGGAAACAAATAATGCAGCATTTTAATACAGAGTTGTAAAGTTTAAACAACATCTAGCTGTGAATGATGGATCATTGTAAATGGCAAAGTTTTATATTTTCACAGTTATAGGTGATTTATTCTGAGCTCTACCATTATTCATCATAATGCCAAGACATTTAAATAATGGATCTCGGTTTAGTTTGACCTTAAAATAAAGTTACGGTATATAAAAGTTTAGAAAATCTAGGCCTGCAGAAAAACAGTCCTCTGATTGTACCAATTTACAGTGAGGGTGTCAGATAACGTCATACTATGTTA